CCTGTCTCCATGCATCACCTCACCATCTTTACCACACTGTAATAGAACATCAGTGCAGTCAAGCAGTCAGTGTATTTGTAAAGCTCACAGACACCTACATTCATAGATAATAGTTAATAGATCTATATGCCATGCTGAGGCAAACCTTATATGGCATGTAATGAGCTGGTGCAAGCATTTGGTTTGTGTGTGTCTGTGTGTTATTGTGCTGTGTTTTTAGTCAGTCATTATTATGTGCGTTTCAGCCCCCAGAGATGCTCAAACGGATGGTCACGTACAACACGTCCTTTAAATCCAGCAAGAAACAAGTAACTGTCATCATTACTTTGTGTTAAAGCCCTCCTCTCTCTCAACACTCTGGTCCTTGAGTGAAATCTCAGCTGAGTCTGAGTGTATACATCTGCATGTGAAGTGTCTACTACATTTCTAACAATATTTCCCTGGAGGATATTGGTAAAATATATCCTTGGGCTGATTTAAAACCAGTTTTGTTAGTACCTTGACAATAATTAAGGGGTCATATCAAGAGGAACACTTACTGTAAAGACACAAGTTTTCAGTTATTGAACCAAAAAAAAAAATTATGTTTTTCATTTCATTTGCAAAATGGGCATTTAAATAGAAGTTTTAAAGCACAGTGTCAAAAATGAACTGTTTCATTATTATTATTATTTTTTAAATAGTGACTGTTTTGATGGATTAAATGATAATAAAATGAATATGATCCCCTTGAGCCTGAATTTTGTTTTTTTTCGTGAAAGTTAGCTCTGCAGAGTAGATTTTATTCTGAAATGTCTACTTCATTTCTTGTGTTAAACATATGTTATAAATATTTCTTCAAATACTCAAGGTCATCAGGTGTGATAGCAATAGTGTGCTTATTTTGGTTAAGGCATTATATTTTAAAACTTTCCATGACATTGAACTGGTCTCATAGTGTAGATTAAATACAAATACATCACAATTCAGCTTCAGTCACACATGCAATTATACCTTTATCTTTTGGTATGAAAGCAGCCTTTGAGTGGATCTCATATGCACTGCCCAGATGGGAGACTCAAACTGAAGGTTATATAATAGTAGAGTGCATATACACCAAATGGCATTTCGTGTGTGTTTTCATTTATTATGAGGGCGATCGTGACCAAGTCTGTGTTTTTTCCTGGTTTGTTGGTTCAGTGGCTGTCAAACCTTGATTGATTATTTGTCTTGATGGAAGGCCAGTGGATTTGAGTGAATAGTGGAAAGAGTCTTTATATCAAGAGTGCCCAAACTCGTGCAACAATATTTACGTACAATCTGCAGGACACCAGCCCTCCAGGACCGAGTTTGGGCACCCCTGCTTTATATTGTACGTAAATATTGTTGCAGATAATTGTCTCTTGACACCATCCAACTTGAAAGCTACCAATGGATCCACAAAGCAAATACATCCTTTCTCAGTAATATGTACCATATAGTACAGTACTATTATGCAGTGTGTTGTACTGTTTCCTATGTTACATTATGTTCAATTGATTGGCTTTTTATATTGTTATCATGCATTTAAAAAGAAAGTTAGTCAAACCTAACCTGGTCATACAGAAATTCAAATATGAACACAGGTGAAGTAAACAACAGATTTTTGTTTAAATGTGCACTCAGCAGTATTTTGTTCATGCTGTTGCTGATATGACAATTTATACTGACACATGTAGGTGTGAATGTAGTATTGTGCAAAAGCAAGCATTTTCAGTTACCGATTTCACTGCAGAAAAACTCAGTCAGTCATGAATAATTCATTCTGCAAGTGATATATATATATATATATATATAGAGAGAGAGAGAGAGAGAGAGAGCGATATAGATAGATAAATATAAAGGCTACCAAGATTAAACTAATAGCATTTGGCTGGTCATTTGGCTGGTCATGTGATTTCAAAATTGTGGCCACCATAAGGCAACCATCTACATGTGGAATAAAGCAGTTTTTTAGGCCACTGATATGACTTGAGATTATCAAGTATTGTTGTACAGAATTTGAAACATATTTCGTAATTTTATTGTATGTAATTTAAAACATATTTTAAACATACGTGTTAAGTGTTGTAGCGTCTGCATAGAATCACGCATGATCTTTGGGTTTTATGGTTTAAGAAGACCCTTTTAGCTTTTGACATTTGCATATAAATTACAGTCCTGGTCCCAGACGTCACACTTATATGGGTGCTAAATGTCAAATGGTTCCCCCCCACTCTCAAAGAGATGCTAAACAGTTTCACCACTCGCACCTTCATGTGGGGTTTCAAACACATTCCAAAGAGACGTAAATGACCCCCGGGGCCAGGCACAACAGGCCAGGCCGGCTGACCAAGCAAACTAACACACACACAAACACACACACACATAAAGACCGTTACTCTATTATACTCTACAAATATATCTGGTATATTGCATGTGTTGTTTGTATGTTTCCCTATTAGATTAGCTGAGTTACCACTCGTATTTGTATTAGTTAAAGCCCTAAAACACTGATCTTCAGGTGTATGTATGTATCTTTGGTTTAATCTATTCTAAATGTTTGTTTCTTGGTATCAAAACGATCTGCTATCTATTTCTCAAACAATGATGTACAGTATGTGATTGTGAAACACATCTTACTATTTGTAGCATATTTTGGGTAAAACTGCACCGATCTTCCAGACCAGCAATAAACATGCAAATGGGCCATAAACAAGAGACAAAGAAAGTTTCTCCCGCTCAAAATTCATGCCTCTGATTGGCCATTCCACCTAAAAGGGGGTGTGAATACAAACCCTCAAAAGGCATTAGCCCGAAATAATCTTTGCTCAGAAACCCTCTTCGCGTGAGACAACACCTTTTCCAAGACTCTCAAGATCTTCCTCTTGAGTTTTATTTTCCGGCAGTTTTTATCTTCAAGTAACTTTAGTCGCTGTGGACTTTTCCTTCGTCAGAAGAACCAGAAGTAAAAACTTCCAGATCACTCCCCACGAACTCATCAAAAGACCTCCGGTGTCTACCGCATCAAGACTCTTCTTCAGCAAACGAAAACCAATGCAAGTAACCGCTTAAAATTATTTAGATGCGTGTTTAAGTTTCAGCCCCTTTTTAAGGTGATTTTTGGATTCTTTGATGATTTTCAAAGGTTGTGGTTAAGTGATGTAAAATACTGCCATCCTTTTCTTTCTCTCTCTTCTCCTTACTTTGCTTCATTCTGTATATATGTGTTTTGCTTAGTTAGTTATATGTTATATATAGTTTCATTTATTAAATCCCTTATATTCACACATGATTGTCTCTGTTGCTGCTCACAGTTCAAGTCAATGAATGTTCCAACCCTTGCTACATTTGTTAAATTACTGCTAGCACTGCATAAATGAGGAAAGTTATCCTTCTTTGGCCAGGAAAATAATCTTTCTTTGAATTGATAAATGATTATTTTGTCTGCTCGGTGGACGGACAGATCAAGTAATGGTAATATTGATTCTGCTACAGTTAATTCAAAGATCTAATCTAAATATTTATTATGAATCATAACCAGTTATAATTCGTCATAAATATTTCCCTTTTGAGCTTGAAATTACTACAGTGTTTTATAATTACTCAGTGTACCTTTAAATATCAGATGCTTTAATAGATTGAATGGTCATGCCAAACTAATGAAGCATGTTTTTTAAACACAGATCTGGCTTTGCCTTGAATAGTTTATTAAGAGTAAGTAGAAGCTGCCATTGTTTGAATTATAGGTGACAATTATCCAGACATATAGTATTCATTTGTCTCTTATTGGAAATCAATGAACACTAATTTGATTCTGCTTAAATAGAGTCCTCAGATAGCCACTTCACATTTTTACAGACTATACACTCCACTGTCTGTTTTCCTATCTATTTTTACAGGGATTTGAACAATATGTGGATGATTTTGATCCATATTCCATGGTACTGTAACCCTTTACATTAACAGTTACTCTCTGTAACTATTGCCATTTTTATATTTTATAACATGTATATCCCAAACATTCCTCTGGGGAATATTTCTTTCACCACCTTTGCTCAAACTTTGCGTTTTAACAGTTCACGGCTGAACAAATAGCTGGTAGAGATGTGTGACTTTTGAGAATGAAGAAAGTAATTTATGAAAGAACAGAAATGTAAGCAACATTTGTAATTGGACAATAAGAATAAGAAACACATACATTACTAAGAGAAGCTGGCCATAGATGAAGGAATCAGCTCCGCATTGGGAAAGATTGTATTGTTGTCCATCCATGAGGGAGGTGTGGCAGTGTCACAATCCCAGTCTTGTGTTTCCCCTGTTTTGTGTTTTCTGTCTCCTATTGTTTCGGTGTTCCCTTCCTGTGTTCAGTTCCTGTTTGTCTTGCTGCTTTCGTTGCTCTATGTGCCTGCCCTGTTTGTTACTATAGTTACCATCATTAGGGGGGGGGCTGCCACTCCTGAGTCTAATTCCTTCATGTCCGCCAATCCAGCATCCCATCCTGTCATGGCTGCCACAGCAGTGTTTCCGGCTGTTATGAACGTTGCACCTTGAAGCTACAAATGAATCAGAAAAGAATTATATATATTTCTGTCATGACAACTCTCGGAGGGATTGGCATGGTAATGTACATGACAATGTTAATGTATTTGGTCTTGGCGGAATAGATCTGCTATGCTGCTGCTGCAGCGGCAGAGCAAGTACTGAGACTTGTAGCTACATTTAATATGAATTTAAACTAGAATTCTGTTTGCAATTAATTGAAAATGACATAATTAAGCGTATGAAAACATTACATTCACACTTAAGTATATGCTTTTAAAGAATATTATTTCCGTAATAAGTACTCTTTTAAAAAGTATGCGAAAGTGTGCTTCTTTCAATGAGGGTCTGCAGAGTTTCCAGTACCATATATGACCAAACCACATTCACATGTCAAAACGTCAAATCATGTCAAGAATGCAGTGATTATATATTTAACTGGTTGAAAATTTCAAGACTGACTATTTGGCAGAGTCAGTTAGCTGGTACTCTCGGCGGCGGTCGTAGCATTCTTGAATCCCAGTGTCGTTCCATAGACTCCGGATGGCGTTGAATTGGGCCTCCTCCAAACTCATGATCTTATCCACCTCAATATCATTTACCAGTGTAGCATTAGCCTGCAAGAGACAAGCACAGCCAATCAGGACTGACCAGCATCTCCCCAGGGGACCAATGAGAGTGTGCGTGCAAGAGCACAGCCAATTAATGAAAGTGGAGCAGAGTGTAAAAACAGGACGCAAAACCTTCTGCAAGGAAATAAACAGGTGAACATAAAAAAAGCACAAATATGAAGTTTAACAAAACTACATTTTGACATTTTTGACCAATTCATTATTAAATGATTGAATTCCAGTAAAGGCATCTAAACAAGATAAATAACTGTACTAAGAAGCAAAATTTAATTAGATAATTAGACTTGAGTTCAGATAGTGAATGTTCCTGGCAACAGAGATCGGGAACATTGTTTATCTGATTTACTTTTCTGAAAACCAAAAAGACGTGGCAGGATGGTGTCAAGTGGTACCTGGTTGTCTGAGTTAGCATAGGCGATCTTGAGCATGTCCATAGCTCTGACCATGGACTGCATGGCGCTGATCACGTTCTGGTGGACGAGCTTAATGAAGCCCTTCTTATCTTCATCAGTATAACCCGAGCCATGAATGATCCTCATCTGTTTAATGAACGTACTCTTGCCACTCTCACCTGTGCCTACAAGAGAAAAAAGACAAATCAATTCATCAGCTTCTGCACTAAGAAAAAAGTACAATTGTATTTCCATGTTTTTGGACAAATTACCATGGTATATGAATATGCCATGTGCATTTGTATATCAAAGTGCCACTGCAAGTTCTTCTAAGAGTGAAATGTGGTTCTGTCATGACAACTCTCAGAGTGATTGGCATGGTAATGTACATGACAATGTTAATGTATTTGGTCTTGGCGGAATAGATCTGCTATGCTGCTGCTGCAGCGGCAGAGCAAGTACTGAGACTTGCTACTGCCAATACATCCACAACATGCTGCTGTGAGCATGTAAGAAATATTCCTGCTGCAAATATAACATACATGAAATAACCATGTGAACCGCATGTATTAATAATATATTAAAAAAATAAAAAATAAAAGTGACGTGACGTGTGGCAAAGTATGGTGACCCATACTTGGAATTAGTGCTCTGCATTTACCCATCCAAAGTGCACACACACGGTGTGTGAACACACACCCGGAGCAGTGGGCAGCCATTTATGCTTGCTCAAGGGCACCTCAGTCGTGGTATTGAAGGTGGAAGAGAGTGCTGTACATTCACTCCCCCCACCTACAATCCCTGCCGGTATGGGACTCGAACCCACAACCATTGGGTTATGAGTCCGACTCTCTAACCATTAGCCCACGACTTTTTTCGCCTTTTTAACATATATATTATTACTATATATATGTGCCTGGGCTACCATGCCAACCATCTTAACGCTAGTGGCCTATGACTATGTGATCCTTGGCTACCACGCCGACCAGCTTAACACTAGTGGGCTATGACTATGTGAGCCTGGGCTACCACGCCGACTGTCTTAACTCTAATTAGATGCGCACTATGTGTAATGTTTAACAAATTGTATATACGTTGCAATCTGATAGTTAAGACCCCAGCATCCACCTGAGCAAATATCATAATTTAGTCATTTAATAACTGCTGTTACTTTCTCCACTTCATCAGTCCCAGCGGTAGCGTAACAGCTTGTTAATTCATGTTCATGCAATGATGAGATGGACAAAATTATCCGATGCATGCCATTTTACTCTCTCGTGCAGATAAAAGTTGTCAAAGTTACAGTGCACAAAAACCCTTGGGTGGACTGACCTGAATGAACTGAAATAAAAGCAGAATATAAATGTTCTTTCTCCATTTTCTGAATAACACTGCACAGCGAGAGCACACGTCGCACGAGCACATTTCTCCGAACTACACTACCCATAATGCATTTCACTGACTAACTGTTACAGCCGTAGATAGTAATCTTCAGCGTCTCCCACAACACTGTCATTGATATGACTGCGATAAGCGCGTGCTTCTGACGCTGCGTGCAGCTGAAATCAACCACACACTCATCACAATGAAAACATCGACCTTAGAAATTATGAACGTGAACGCTGGTATAATCACCGATTTGTGTGACGAATCCCCGTTGAAATGCATACACAAGAATGCTTATTTCATTTAACCTGTTTCATGTCCGTTACTATCGTGTCCTCGTAGCGATTACATATGCTCTAAACTGCGTTTTGCTCCAGCTTTATAAACACAGATGCTAAATGCTGCTGCTAATATGCTTAATATTCGCTCTTGCATACAATGCAAACTGCTAACATGACACTTAGTTTAAACTTGATTATGGTTGCTCATTTTTTAATTCAATTAGGCAGACCAAGCAATACACACAGCGATATGGATTAGAAGAGCATTCACTTCTCTTAGATGTTGATTTCACTGTTCTGAAGCAAGCTGCAACTGCCAGGTCAAGCACTAGTCATATATTTGAATGTTGAGCAGCGAGCTCATTGGCTACCAATACAGGAGAGAACCAATCAGCTGTGCCATGTGATAATGATGTCATTAGGTCAGATTGAGTTAGACCTATCGGACTGCGCCATCTAGAGTTTCACGCCAGAACTCTGTATATATATTTTTTTATTTTTTTTATTTTTATTTTTTTGAAGATATAAATCCCAAAAAAGCACACATGGTCTGCTGCTATAATGATTTCTTTAGCAAGCATCATCAGCAATTTGCTTCAATGCATTATGTGGTCTGTCTCCATTATTCCCAATGAAAAAAATGGCTCTCAGTGGTGAACCTGTCATCTCCTGTAAGTCTTCAGCCCTAACGCAACATCAGTCAGACCCACTGCAAAGAAGAAGGTTTTTCAAGGCAGTGCACCCTGTGTACAGACAGGACTACGTCCTTCAGATGAGAACCCCCCATCCGCCAACATGATCGCCACTAACCCAGTGGTAAAAGCACCCCAAACCCATCTATAGACCTTAGTCAGGTTAGACTCCATACTGAATTGAACGCTGATGAAAATAATGCTGTAGGGGAAAGACTTGCAGTTGTTACAACAGAACACACTACATAAAGGTACTAGATTTTCACAACTGTCATTTTCACAACTCTCAGTCTACTGAAAGTCTTTTCAGAAATATGTTTCATCAGCTGAACAATCGTTATGTTGTTAAACAACAAAATAATCCATTGAACGCACTGTACTTCCATCCCTCACAGCCTCATTTCTATTCCTGTCAAAAATGTAAAATTCTGCAATGTTCATCATGTACTGTACATGTGACAACCTCTTTGTCAATATGGAAACCCACCCAGATGTTTCCATTTGGGGATTTGGTATGCCAATGATTCAATAATGCAACAGTCATATCATGACATAGCCCCCACCCTCTCAAAGGAGCAGCTTCCAGGCGCTCCAAAACAGAAGCTCAAGTCCAGGAGGGAGGTGGAGCAAAGGCGATTCGGGGGAGGGATAGAGGGCCAGGCCTGTGAGGTGGAAGAGAGCTGGTGGAGCTGGAGACAGGGCAGAGCAGGTGACAGGGGCAGGGCAGAGCTAGTAGAGCAGACAGAGCTGAAGAACCCCACAGCAGAGCAGGTGGATCTTTAAACCAACAAGGCGGAGCTGATTGAATTGGTGACCACCAAGGCAGAGCAGATAGAGCTGAAAATCTCCAATGTGGAGCTGAAGACCCCCAAGACGAAGCAGATGGAGCTGAAGACCTCCAAGGTGGAGTTGAAGACCACCAGAGCAGAGCAAACTGGACAAGATCCTCACAATGTAGAAGGAGACTACCACAGCAGAGCAAACAGGGCTGCAGACCCCCACAGCGGATCAGGCAGGAAGGAAGACCACTTCAACGGAACTGATGAGACTGGAGACCCCCACGGCGGATCAGGCCAAACTGAAGACCACCTCGGCGAATCAGGCAGAACTGGAATAGAGAGCACAGAGGAGTTAGAAATGGCCTCTGTGGCTGCAACAGGACCAGCAGAGAGTTCAGAGTCCGCCTCCATGGCTTTGACAGGAAAGGCAAAAGGTTCTGGGACGGCCTTTTTGACCATGACAGGGCAGACTGAGAATTCATAGACGGCATCTTTGGCAGTGACAGGGCATGCTGGAAGTTCTTGGACGACCTCCGTGGTCATAACAGGACAGGCAGGGAGCTCACAGGTGAACACTGCGGTTGTAACAGGACAGGTAGAGAATTAGCAAACAACCTCCGTGGTTGTAACAGGACAGGCAGGACTGGATGTTGCCGCCTCGGGAGGAGTTGGAGCAGATGCCACTGCATCGGGAGGATCTGGATCAGACAAGATGTGTGCAGCCCAAACACACAGGATAGTGATGGCCATAACCGGGAGCGCTGCAGATGGTGGAAGGACATCAGAGTCCACCTGACTCGAGACCACCAGACTTGGATGAGCTGGAGCCATGGTGCTTGAGTGCACCTTGGCCGTGGGCAACATCTTCCTCATGGCACGGACCGATAGCATTGGGGGGGGGTCCATCATCTTAGATGCTAATGCCACATGCCTCGAGACAACCCTTGTAGAGTCTAACGTAGCAGCCCCGACAGCTGAGGACTCAGCAACTGATGAGGCCACACCGGGCCACGCGCTTGAGGGGGCCTCCACAGCGAACGGACGATTCATAATTATTCATAATGATTTAGAAATCAAACGTCTGTGTTTTAGAAATACATAATTTACTATTTGGGCCATGTTGTTGTTGTTTGCAAAACAATAAATATGCATTATCAAAAAGTTTTGATGTATGTTTGTATGCCTTCTAATATGGTATATCAGTTGAGCTCTTTGTTTTGAGCCATAAGGAGGCGGTATGTTGTGCTGTGATGACAACAATTTCAGCTGCTGTCCCAATTGGTTAGATTTTAATAACAATATCTGCAACACATGTTGAATTTGGACCATGTACTGTATGCATAGCGGATGGTTAGTGAGTCGCTTTCCTGTAGGATTGATATCAGGCAGGGGGAGTAGCTTATTATGGTCTTTTTAATCCCAACTACTTAGTGTAGGGTCCTAAAGTGAGCCGGAACCAATTGGTCTGTCTAGCAATTCCATTAGCTGCAAAGCCTTTTGAATTGGTACTCAGTTCAATAAAACCATAAAGAGAAGATTGATTATGGTGGTCAGAAGAGAGAACAATATCAAATACCACATTTACATTGTATTGATTAGCTGTTGACAAGTTTTCCATAATACTATAGTAAAATATTATAATATGTAGTTTTATAAATGTACATTATATTTAAAAATAAATATATCTAATAAACAAATGCTGTATTTGTGATCTTATCATCCCCGGTACTTTCTATGCACTTTGCATTTTTAGGGTCGAATCCTTGTACGTTTACGTCATCAAAGCTGCTGCTGTTTAACCCCTTAGCTACTTGCAATGAGCTTTGTTTCATTGTGTGGATTTCATCTGTTTTATGGTAGTTATGAATATATTATATTTGGATATGAACATTATATCAGTTATATCACCGCAATTTTTTGTAAGGTTTGTATATACACTGAACAAAATTATAAACGCAACACTTTTGTTTTTGCCCCCATTTTTCATGAGCTGAACTCAAAGATCCAAGACTTTTTCTATGTACACAAAAGGCTATTTCTCTCAAATATTGTTCACAAATCTGTCTAAATCTGTTAGTGAGCACTTCTCCTTTGCCAAGATAATCCATCCACCTCACAGGTGAGGCATATCAAGATGCTGATTAGACAGCATAATTATTGCACAGGTGTGCCTTAGGCTGGCCACAATAAAAGGCCACTCTAAAATGTGCAGTTTTATCACACAGCACAATGCCACAGATGTCGCAAGTTTTGAGGGAGCGTGCAATTGGCATGCTGACTGCAGGAATGTCCACCAGAGCTATTGCCCGTGAATTGAATGTTCATTTCTCTACCATAAGCCGTCTCCAAAGGCGTTTCAGAGAATTTGGCAGTACATCCAACCGGCCTCACAACCGCAGACCACGTGTAACCACACCAGCCCAGGACCTCCACATCCAGCATCTCCAAGATCGTTTGACACCAGCCACTCGGACAACTGCTGCAACAATCGGTTTGCATAACCAAAGAATTTCTGCACAAACTGTCAGAAACCGTCTCAGGGAAGCTCATCTGCATGCTCGTCGTCCTCATCGGGGTCTCGACCTGACTGCAGTTCGTCGTCGTAACCGACTTGAGTGGGCAAATGCTCACATTCGATGGCGTCTGGCACTTTGGAGAGGTGTTCTCTTCACGGATGAATCCCGGTTTTCACTGTACAGGGCAGATGGCAGACAGCGTGATTTTATAGTGGCCTTTTATTGTGGCCAGCCTTAGGCACACCTGTGCAATAATCATGCTGTCTAATCAGCATATTGATATGCCACACCTGTGAGGTGGATGGATTATCTCGGCAAAGGAGACGTGCTCACTAACACAGATTTAGACAGATTTGTGAACAATATTTGAGAGAAATAGGCCTTTTGTGTACATAGAAAATGTCTATGCTTTTTTTTAGAAAAAGCTCATGAAAAATGGGGGCAAAAACAAAACTGTTGCGTTTATAATTTTGTTCAGTGTATACAGTATATGATTTAATTAATTATCTTTTTTATCAACTCACAAACCCACTGCAGTTCTTACATTAAGCCTAGTTTGGGAAATCCTGAATTACTGTAATGTTAAATACATTTAATGATGTTTTCTTTTCTCATTGCTCTTTTTTATATCAGTATTGTGCAATTAATGGTATGTTTAAAATAATTAAAAAAGGAAAAAAAAAGTTATCTAAAAGTAATCAGAATATATTATCTAAAAATGAGTTACCTAGATTATGTTACTAACTACATATACCATCATGTAATCTGTAATCAGGAAAAGACAACAAAATTT